CTGCTCTAAAAGTATGATGAGTCAGAAAAAACTAGAAGGATATATAAATAGGTAGTTTTGGTGATAGGTTACAAATAATGTTTACTTCCTTTTTAAAATGTTTCTCCATGTTATCAATATTCTTCAATAATCTTAAAAACACTAAAATATATTATTCACCTAATGCAAATGCAGTCAATTCCATCCTGGGCTTTAACAGATTAATTGTTGAATGTGCATAGGGAAATGGGTTTTCCCCTAAAAACTGGGAACTAACCTTATCTGCAATTATAATGTAACGTCAAGGATCAACAGGAAATAGAGCTTAGTGGCTATTCATTACTGAATAGTATAAGAATTATTCTGTAAAAGGATGTTTTGTGCTTGTAAGATTATAAAGCATTGCTGCTTATATGTTTTTTAATTGATGATTAAAAATGTGAAGAAAATAAATTGAAGGCTTTATACAAAGGTGCTGATAAACCAAATAAATTCCCCTTATTTAACACAAAATATAGTAATTTTAATGTAGTGTTTAACCAGGAAATGAAGTATTTAAACAAAGGCAGCATTATTTGAGTGTAAAGAAATTAGAATTAATCATACATGCAGGGTCCCTTTTTATGGATGCCAACCATGTGCTTAGATACTTGAATAGATATTCAGATGTCCTAGTGCCCTTGGATATAAATGTGCTCTTGTGGAGCCCTTGTGGGGAGCTGCTTCACAGCAAAAGAATCCCTTCCAGAGCCTAAGTGTGCTAGCTCTGGACCCAGCCCTCTGCCAAGTCAGCCCCTGCAGTGTTCTCAGTTTCTTAAAGAGACATTTGGGCCCATCTAAATCCAAAACCTGAGAGTTTAGTGCCACCTGAAATTCAGATGGTTCAGAACAATTCTGCTTACAATGATCAGTTTCAATGTGTAGACTATTCTACAGGATACTTAATTACTTTGACTTTTGCATTCTCATCATAATCTCTGTTACTTTGATTGTTAGGATCAATTTTAACATACACAGTACAGACAATTCTGCAGAGAATAAGATCTAAAGTGCTGAGATATGGAATTATCTTGTAGATGGTAATCTTGCCTTTCCTCTTTATTGACTAGGACTGCTGTTTCCATACAGTAGACTAGACTAGAACCTTTCCTCATTTCTCTGTCTCTCTCTCTCTCTCCCTCTTTCTTTCTCTCTCTCTCTATCTCTCTCCCTTTCATTCTTTCTTCTTTCCTTTTTTAGAGACAGGGTCTCGCTCTATCATCCAGGCTAGAGTGCAGAGTTGTAATCACAGCTCACTGAGGCCTCAAACTCCTGGCCTCACATGATCCTCCCACCTTGGCCTCCTAAAGTGTTGGGATTGCAGGCGTGAGCCACTGCACTGGGTCCTTTACTCATTTTTCTTATACTTTTGGCTTAATATTATATAAATTAAATAGAAGAAAATAGATACAGAAAGCATTATTAATTTAAACAAAACCAATACCTTTTAGCATTGTTATTTACAAGTGATTATAATGTTGTCTTTGTGGCCTCAAAAATAGATCATTTTCTTTTATTGATGGGAGTAAAGCATTAGATACAGGAAACATGGGTGAGAAATGGATCAGAATTTCTTATAGTGTACTACATATGGACTAATTTTGTAATATTAAAGACAATATTTTTAAAAAGAAAAAAGGTCACCCATTCCATCTGCCTAAACATTGTAGTGTTGTTAGTTTTGCATTTTTCCCTGCCTACTTACAGCCACACTGCATACTTGCAACCATATTATTCTTGCAATATAGAATTCTAAGGTAGAGGGAAGATATCTCTACTTAACCATTAATATAGCAAATATAGTTCCTTTATTACTGGACTTTTTGTGTTGAAAATGTAGAAACTGGAGGGAATAAGGTGGCCTTCAGAATTGATTACTTTATAATTATACCTGTCCATTTAACTGGTTACATTGGATACTTGTAATTTATGTAATGTTTTTAAAGTGCACAATACTGCACCAATTTCTCCCTTACATTAATTTTATTCTGGGCCCATAAAAATATGTACAGCTGAAAGTCCAATTTTCCAAGGAGATAATGGATGTTAAACTGTTGAAGGTTCTCAAAGAAGGCTCATATTCCCTTTTTGCTTTTCCCTACATTACGTGGCTTTCCTGAAAGCCTTGAAGGGATTGATAATACTTGAGTATTTATAATAGTAGCATTGGTTACTCAAGAGCTAAATTTAAATCCAGGCTGTAGGTAGATCACCCAGATACCTCAAGGCTGGGCATTGCCTTGCTCATGTTTAATCTAAACCTGAAGCGAACCCTTGGTAGGTGGTATCATCTGTCCACCTGTGGACTAGGAGAAACTTGCGGCCATACCTGTAGCTTGCTGCTGAACCTCTGCATAAAACCTACAGTGTTTACATTAAAACATGCTGGTAGGGCTGGGCGTGGTGGCTCAAGCCTGTAATCCCAGCACTTTGGGAGGCTGAGGCGGGTGGATCATGAGGTCAAGAGATCGAGACCATCCTGGTCAACATGGTGAAACCCCATCTCTACTAAAAATACAAAAAGTTAGCAGGGCATGGTGGCGCATGCCTATAGCCCCAGCTGCTTGGGAGGCTGAGGCAGGAGAATTGCCTGAACCCAGGAGGCGGAGGTTGCGGTGAGCCGAGATCACGCCATTGCACTCCAGCCTGGGTAACAAGAGCGAAACTCCGTCTCCAAAAAAAAAAAAAAAAAAAAAAAAACATGCTGGTACCTATGGAGAACTCTTGACTTTAGCAGTCAAGAGTAATGAAAAAGAAGGGACATAAATAGTATTCTGTTTAATTATTACATGCTCAATATCAGTAGCATACCAGGTGTATCAGGACAATAGAAGAAGCCTAAGAATGTCCTCCTCTAGTGTCTTACAGTCTTGCTCTGGAGGCAAAATATACCTAATCACAACAATAGAAGTAACAGTAGTATGTGATTTCATTGTGACATATGTCCCAAGAAATTTGTTGATTATGCTTGTTAAACATACCAAAATTTGTGGATGACATAATTATAAAACTAGACTGATTCTGTTAACACTTCAAGACATTTGTATCCTGAAATGTACTTTCTTGATTGTGAGGGTTTGGGAATTATAGCCAGCCTTGGAAATCGCATGCGCATTTGGTGAAGGGTATCATGGACGTGCATGTCATTTGTCGTCCATGTGGCAGTAGATAAAGAAATCAGGAATTGCTGAGAGAGGGCACAAAACTACAAAGATGAAATAGGAAAACAAGGCATCTGTTTCAGATGAACACTGGTCACCTCCTCGTAGTGTGTCTCCAAAGTCTCCTGTCAACTATCTGTTTGATAAGTAAATGATATCCAATAAGGAGGAGCCAAGTATAATGAATTAAACCATGCCATAAATGTTTTTTAAATGTGTGAAATCCAATTATTTTTATTGAGAATATAGACCTTTAATGATTTCTTATCACAATTCAAAAATATGGTAGAAATACACAGCTCAAGTGGGATATGGAAATGGCATTTGGTTTTGACATAATATTTTATTAACCCAGAGTAACTGAATCAAGACTCATAAATTAAAACCTTTTCCTTGAGTATAAAATACAAGTTAACAGTAATGCCCAAATGTTTGTAGCACCTTTGACTTTGAAATTTAGAGATGAACCATTATGGATTAGTTTCTATGGTAACACTGTAACTAGAGGAAATCATAAATTCATATGTGTGAAAAGAAGAAATAATAAGTATAAAAAACCCTTAGAAGAATATTTTTAATCTAGCTATAAATAAGAAGTGACTCATCTATATGCTATGCAAATTTAAAGTAGGTAAATTTAGATTTCTTTTTTTTTTTTTTTTTTTGCTTTTACAAAGCTTTATGCTTTAGGAGGGGAAATGTAGTTATATATAAACAGTTCAGAAAATGTCTCTTTCAGAGCTACCGTGCTGGAAATGTTCTGTATCTGCACCATCCAATACAGTAGCCACTAGCCACATGCAGCTATTGAACTTTCGAAAAGTGGCTAATGCAATTAAAGAACTGAATGTTGTATTTTATTTAACTTCACTTAATTTCCATTTAAATGCCCACCTCTGCCTAGTGTCTGCCATATTGTTAAGGGAAAGGACTTAAAGTCATATATAGAGTAGTAGATATGTCTTGCCAGATTGTTAATTCATTAATTTACTGTCATTTTGTATTCCAGATTCTTTGGCTCTTACATTTTTTTAACCTGTTCTAGGAAGAGCCATTACCAGTCCTGACTTAGCTTAGCTTTAAAACAATGTCATGTCTCTTTTACTTTAAAAAGTTGCCTTTGGGCAGGTGTGGGAGCTCCCACCTGTAATCTCAGCACTTTGGGAGGCTGAGGCAGGTAGATCCCTAAAGGTCAGGAGTTCGAGACCAGCCTGGCCAACAAGGTGAAACCCCATCTCTGTTAAAAATACAAAAATTAGCTGGCATGGTGCACACGCCTGTAATCCCAGCTACTTGGGAGGCTGAGGCAGGAGAATCACTTAAACCTGGGAGGCAGAGGTTGCAGTAGCCAAGATCACACCACTGCACTCCAGCCTGGGTGACAGAGGAGACTCTGTCTCTAAATAAATACGTAAAACAAAAAATTGAAAGTTGCCCTAAATCTTAAAGTTTAAGCCCAAGAGCACTAGTTTTGGGAGACAGCAACATTATGGATGCTATTTACTCTGAGGGTAAGGTCATCATACATCTTTTATACTTTAAAATTAAATATGATGCTGAAATGTTTGGGGTGAAATGTACTGATGTCTACAACTTACTTTGAAATGCATGAAAAAAGAAAATGAATTCATGGATGAATAGATGCTAGATATGTGAGAAAGCAGATACTGCAAATTGTAAACAGTATTGGGTGTTCACTGTACAATTCTTTCAGTTTTTCTGAAGTTATCTTAATATAATGTTCAGGGATAGTTAAATGTAAGCATACTAAGTATTTTTAAAGCATTCTTTTCTTGGATCTATCAATTCTCTGTTAAATAGAGCCAAGGAGCAATAACTGAACGTTTAAGAAGCTTCAGTATGCATGATTTAACAGCTATCCAAGGTGATGAGCCTGTGGGACAAAGACCATACCAACCTCTACCAGAAGCAAAAAAGAAAAGTAAACCAGCCCCCAGTGAATCAGCAGGTGTGCTTGTTTTAATATATGGTTCTTCTACACGGACACAGGGAGGGGAACAACGCACACTGGGGCCTGTCAGTGGGTGGGGGACAAGGAGAGGAAGAGCATTAGGACAAATACCTAATGCATACGGGGCTTCTAACCTAGATGATGAGTTGATAGGTGTAGCAGACCACCATGGCACATGTATACCTGTGTAAAAAACATGCATGTTCTACACATATATCCCAGAACTTACAGTAAAATTAAAATATATATACACACAGACATGGTTCTTTCATAATTGGGCTTGTGGATACTAAAATAATATGATACATGATAACTATCTGAATTTAGGTGGACAAAATTTACTTCTAAGCTTGTATTTTCTACTTTTTTGCATTTAATCATAGTTTTTTTTCTTTGAAATTTTCTCTAAATAAGATTAGTACTTGCCAGGCCGGGTGCAGTGGCTCAGGCTGGGCACGGTGGCTCACGCCTGTAATCCTAGACTTTGGGAGGCCAAGGTGGGCAGATCACGAGGTCAGGAGTTCGAGACCAGCCTGGCTAACATGGTGAAACTGTGTCTATACTAACAATATTTAAAAAAAAAAAAAATAGCCAAGCGCAGTGGCTCACAACTGTAATCCCAGCACTTTGGAGGCCGAGACAGGTGGATTGCATGAGGTCAGGAGTTCGAGACCAGCCTAGCCAAAATGGTGAAACCCCATCACTACTAAAAATACAAAATTAGCCAGGCTTGGTGGCACATGCCTGTAATCCCAGCTACTTGGGAGGCTGAGGCAGGAAAATCACTTGAACCCTAGAGCCAGAGGTTGCAGTGAGTCGAGGTCATGCCATTGCACTCCAGCCTGGGTGAGAAAGTGAGTCTCCATCTCAAAAAAAAGAAAAAAAAAATAGGCATGGTGGCACATGTCTATAATCCCAGCTACTTGGGAGGCTGAGGCAGGAGAATTGCTTGAACCCTGAAGGCAGAGATTGTGGTGAGCTGAGATCACGCCACTACTCCAGCCTGGGCAAAAGAGTAAGACTCCATCTCGGGGGGGAAAAAGAAAAGGATTAGTGCCAGGCGCGGTGGCTCAAGCCTGTAATCCCAGCACTTTGGGAGGCCGAGGCGGGTGGATCACGAGGTCGAGAGATCGAGACCATCCTGGTCAACGTGGTGAAACCCCGTCTCTACTAAAAATGCAAAAAATTAGCTGGGCATGGTGGCGCGTGCCTGTAGTCCCAGCTACTCAGGAGGCTGAGGCAGGAGAATTGCTTGAACCCAGGAGGCGGAGGTTGTGGTGAGCCGAGATCATGCCATTGCACTCCAGCCTGGGTAACAAGAGCGACACTCTGTCTCAAAAAAAAAAAAAAAAAGAAAAGGATTAGTACTTGCCTTTTGCTGATTCTGGAGATTATCTAGCTAACAAAGTAGCCTCTTCTGCTGCCATGAAGTTTTAGAAGCTGTAGGTGTGGTTACCAACACCTTCTCACCACCAGCACTAGTTCTAACCTGTAATCAGTACTCTTTCTACTCAAACTGTGCACTGACATCTAAGGAATTTTCTAGTTGAACACTCTTTACTGTAAGTGCTGTGGACAAATAAGGATATTGACTCACAGATTAAAAGTTTTAAGCATGTGATCAAAGATGACTCAATTTGAAAATAAGATTGTTCCCATGGAAAATGTGTTGAAATTACATATTCTACTTCAAGAGCTAACTTGTAGGCATATTCTAGTATAAATTATGAACATGTCATAGTGAATATAGTCTCAAACTTAAAAAAAATCATGATCTTAGAAACATACATGTAAATTAGACATGGTTCATTAGTCACTTTATCACATATAATAAGAAAGTTTTAATTCAAAGGCAAGGCTGAGAACTAAGATCTTCAATACATTCTTTATTAATGAGTTAAGTTCATTAGATACGGGGCCATTTGACTTTTTATTAAAAAAAAAGTTTTGAGAGAAATTGAAAATCATCTTTATAATTAAAACCAATTTTAAAAATGAAAAACTGGTTTTCCTTAAAAAGGAAAAATATCTCCACAAAAAACATTTTTTTGACTAGCCAAGCATGGTGATACAAACCCAACTACCAGGGAGGCAGATGGGAAAATCACTTGAGCCCAGGAAGTCAAGGTTACAGTGAGCCATGATCACACCCCGGCACTCCAGCCTAGGTGACAGAGCAAGACTCTTTCTCAGGAAAAAGAAAAAATAGTGAACTTTCTTCCAAGGTCTCCCAAGAATGAATACCTTTACAAAGTTGTTGACTATTATCTAAGAGGTAGTGATCAAGTATTGGCCATTGATTAAGGTAGAAATGCCTTAGAGAGGAACCATCAGTCTTATTTGTACGTTAAAAATAACGTAGTTCCTAATGTAGACATTTCCCTTTTTTTAAATTGTTGTTGGGGCCGGACGTGGTGGCTCACACCTGTAATCCCAGCACTTTGGGAGGCCGAGGCGGGTGGATCACGAGGTCAAGAGATCGAGACCATCCTGGTCAACATGGTGAAACCCCGTCTCTACTAAAAATATAAAAAATCAGCTGGGCGTGGTGGCACATGCCTGTAATCCCAACTACTCAGGAGGCTGAGGCAGGAGAATTGCCTGAACCCAGGAGGTGGAGGTTGCGGTGAGCCGCGATCGAGCCATTGCACTCCAGCCTGGGTAATAAGAGCGAAACTCTGTCTCAAAAAAAAAAAAAAAAAAAAAAAAAAAAAGCCGGGCGCGGTGGCTCAAGCCTGTAATCCCAGCACTTTGGGAGGCCGAGGCGGGTGGATCACGAGGTCAAGAGATCGAGACCATCCTGGTCAACATGGTGAAACCCCGTCTCTACTAAAAATACAAAAAATTAGCTGGGCATGGTGGCACGTGGCTGTAATCCCAGCTACTCAGGAGGCTGAGGCAGGAGAATTGCCTGAACCCAGGAGGCAGAGGTTGTGGTGAGCCGAGATCGTGCCATTGCACTCCAGCCTGGGTAACAAGAGCAAAACTCCGTCTCAAAAAAAAAAAAAAAAAAAAAAAAAAAAAAAAAAAGACAAACTACAGACTATCAGAAATTATATGTTATAGGCAAAGGGTTCAGATTCAACAATCCAGGAAGCCCATTATTGTCAATTCTACCAAAGAATACAACTGGTCAGAAATACATGAAAAAGATTCTCAGCCTCAGATAATCAAAAAGTAGTAATAATAATAATTTTTATTTGCCAGATTGGCCAAAAGAAAGTTTTTAATGAACAGCGTTCTGTGTTGTGAACTGTTTCAGTTATCTAGTTATCTATAGCTGCATACTAAACCACCCCAGAACAGCGGCTTAAAACAATCACAGTCATCTATTTTGCTCACAGATCTGGGGGTGACTGGACTTGGCAAAGCAATTCTTGTTCAGGGTCTCCTGCAGCTGTGGTCTGACAGCAGCTGGGCTAGAGTCATAATCTCAAAGAGAGCCCACACATCTGCTGTCTGAGCTGAAAAGAGTCAAGCAGCTGCTGGCTAGAATGGTTGGAGCCTCTCAGCCATCTCCCTCTGTTCTCTCCATGTGGTCTCTAAGAGTGGTTGGACTTCTCACCTGGCAGCTGAAGGCTCCCAGGCCACTGTGCCAAGAGAAACTTGCAGAAGTCCTAGAAGCAGCATCACTTCCATCACATGTTTTGTGGCGATTCATTAAGGCAGGTACAAAGGCCTCTGAGATGTTAAGGGAAGGGAAGAGAATCTGTAGACATGTTTTAAATCTACCACAGCAAGCCTGTTGAGGAACACTCTTAGACACTGTATGACTTTAAAATAGAATAATCCTTTTGGATGACAATCTGGCAGTAATCAAAATTTATTCCCTTTAGCTCAGCAAGAAACTTCTAAGAATATGTCATAAGGAAATAATCAGACAATTGTTCAAAGATATATATACAAGAATGTTCATCTCGTTGTTTATAGTAACAAATATCGGAATGAACCAAACGCCTAGGAGAAATGATTAAGCAAAAGGTGGTTTATTAGCTGTGAAACATCACAATGTCAGTCTGTACTTACTGATATGAAAACATATCCAGATTGTAGGGGAAAAACAATAATAAGTAGATGAGGAAATGGATTAATATACCTAATTTTTTTTTGGTAACAGAATTTCGCTCTTGTTGCCCAGGCTGGAGTGCAATGGCACGATCTCAGTTCACCATAACCTCCACCTCCCAGGTTCAAGCGATTCTCTTGCTCCAGCCTCCCAAGTAGCTGGGATTACAGGCATGTGCCACCACGGCAGGCTAATTTTTTTGTCTTTTTAGTAGAGATGGGGTTTCTTCATGTTCGTCAGGCTGGTCTCAAACTTGTGACCTCAGGTGATTTGCCCACCTTGGCCTCCCAAAGTACTGGGATTAAAGGCATGAGCCACCATACTCATCCCTAATTTTTAAAATGTATATACATAAAAGAAAGTTTGGAAGGGTATTACTAAAATGGTAACAGTGTTTAGCTCTGAGTTAGTGAGCTTTTTAGTTTGTTTTTTAAATTAACCTATTAATCTCAAAATCAGAAGTAAATCAGCCATACTTCATTTTAAAAAAAATTAAGGTATTCATTTTCAGGTTTTAAGTTAAACAGAAAATGTATATTTTTTAAAACATATTAATGGAGGTGGGGTGTCAGTATGTTGTCCAGGCTGGTCTTGAACTCTTCAGTTCAAGTGATCTTCCCACCTCTGCCTCCCAAAGTGCTAGGATTACAGGCATGACTCACCGAGCCCCGCCAGAAAAATGTATATTTTAATGAAAATATTTGGCTTGATTCTAGTGTCTCCTCTCTCTTTGATTCAAGGATTGGTTTAATTAAACTTTTTTTTTTTTTTTTTTTTTTTGAGGCGGAGTCTCGCTCTATCGCCAGGCTGGAGTGCAGTGCTGTGATCTCAGCTTACTGCAGTCTCTGCCTCCCAGGTTCAAGCGACTCTCTGCCTCAGCCTCTCAAGTAGCTGGGATTATAGGCGTGTGCCACCATACCCTGCTAATTTTTTTGTATTTTTAGTAGAGACGGGTTTTTGCCCTGTTGGCCAAAGTGGTCTTAAACTCCTGGCCTCAAGCCATCCGCCCGCCTCGGCCTCTCAAAGTGCTGGGATGACAGGCGCCTAGCCTAAACTTGTTTATTTCATTTCTCAATAAATTCTAAATTTGGCTCCTTGCTCTGTCCTCACTCTGTGGACTCTGTCATTTCTGAATTTCTGACCTGCTGTACTACAGTAACCTCTCCACTTAGGCTCCCTGCCCTCAGACTTATCCATTTCTGATTCATTCTCCAAAGTGCCGAAAGAATGTTTTATAGATCCCATATCTAATCATGTTACGCTTCTGCTTAAAACATTTCAATACCCTCCCTGAACCTCCACAGGCCTCATTGCTCTCTGTTGAAGTCCAAACTAGATAACATGGTATATTAACTCCCCAGCCTAGTTCTCCCACCCTATCAAATGCTAGCCATACCAAATCATGACTCTTTAAGGATTCAGCTTAGCCACCACCTCCTACAAGGCCTTTTCTCATAACCCACCCCTTCCAACCCACCCCATGCTGATTATATTCTCTTACTGTATGCTCCCCGGCACCTTGTCTTTAACTTATAGTATTTATTATAGTATCGTAATGCCTATTACAATCTGTTTCCCCTATTGGACTCTAAAATTTTTGAGGGTAGAAAAAGACAGCTGTGTCTTTTTCATCTTTGTATCCTCATAATTCAGCATACTGCCTCATTCATAACAGAATTTTAAAAATACTTGTAGAATAATGAATCAATCCATCACTTTTCCTGAAGCTGTAATTAGAAAGCTAATAAGATTTTTTTTTAGCTGGAATTAGGAAAGAAGAAAAGAATATGATGTATAATCAGCTTTTAAACGAAATTCCATTTCCTAATCATGCAAAATTAGAGGCAATTAAAATAACAAGGACTGTGTTTGTTGAACTGTAGTCCTATGCTCCATTTGTGGCCTTAGATAAATTTTTGATCACAGTTACTTCCTTTCTGACTTTTTCCTTGATTCCTCATTCTGTTTTACCATATTGGGATCACAAATACTACATAAGCAACATCAATAGAAAAAAAAATCTAGCAATGACAATCTGAAACCTGTCTTATTTTTCTCAATTAGAAAAGAAACAATTTTTTTTTCTTTTTTTCTTTTTTTTGAGACGTTATCCAGGCTGGAGTGCAATGGCACGATCTCGGCTCACCGCAACCTCCGCCTCCTGGATTCAGGCAATTCTCCAGCCTCGGCCTCCTGAGTAGCTGGGATTACAGGCACGCGCCACCATGCCCAGCTGATTTTTTTGTATTTTTAGTAGAGATGGGGTTTCACTATGTTGACCAGGATGGTCTCGATCTCTTGACCTCATGATCCACCCGCCTCGGCCTCCCAAAGTGCTGGGATTACAGATTTGAGCCACCGCGCCCGGCCAAAAGAAACAGTTTTTAAAGAGAATTTGGCAAGTGAAAAAAGAAAAAATGAAAAAACTTAAAATTACCTAAAAGCTCACTTCCATGGGATAGAATCCTTTCATTTATATTTCTATATGTACATTTTTTTTCACACTTAATATTGCTTCAGGAGCTTTTTCCCAGGACCACTGATCCTTCCCCTTCCTGGCCACACTGGCCTCTCTATTTCTTCCAAGCTATCCCCAGTCCCCTAGCCACCCTCCTCAGTGCCTCTGTGCATGCAGTCTCTTCTATCCAGAACACACACACTTCCTTGGACGACTGTAAGAAAACAAAGGATCTTGGCCTAAATAATGACTGATGCCGCTTCCAAATCTCTTCTGACTTGTAGCCTAGAAGTCTAAGAGCATAAAATTATACTTGCTTTATGTTATTATGAGAGTAACAAGCTTATTAACAACTCTTTGTAGTTTACTTAGTGATTCTCAAATTATTCATGTCTTAGAAGAGCAGACCAATAAACATGTGTTCAGTTTATTTTTTTAATACGTATTTTTTTTAAACAGGCTGTAATGCAGCGGCATGATCACAGCTCACTGCAGCCTTGACTTCACAGGCTCAGGTGATCCTACCACCTCAGCCTTTGGAGCAGCTGGGACTACAGGTGCACAACACCATGCCTGGATAATTTTTTTATTTTTTTTAGAGAAAGGGTTTCACCATGTTGCCCAGGCTGATCTAGAACACCTAAGCTCAAGTGATCTATCTGCCTTGGCCTCCCAAAGTATTGGCATGAACAGGCATGAGCCACCGAGCCCAGCCCAGTTTATTTTTTATCACATGCAGGGAATCCATCCTTTGCCTCCTCCTGACCCTGAAAATCCTTCTACTTTTTTTTTTTTGAGATGGAATCTTGCTCTGTCACCCAAGCTGGAGTGCAGTGGCACAATCTCAGCTCACTACAACTTCCACTTCCCAGGTTCAAGTGATTCTCTTGCCTCACCCTCTCAAGTAGCTGGGATTACAGGTTCCAGCCACCGTGCCCAGCAAATTTTTGTATTTTTAGTAGAGTCCGGGGTTTCACCATGTTGGCCAGTCTGGTCTCAAACTCCTGACTTCAGGTGATCTGCCCACCGTGGCCTCCCAAAGTGCTGGGGTTACAGGTGTGAGCCACTGCGCCTGGCTGGAAATCTTTCCACTTTTGCTCCTTGTCTCTATTAAAAGAGAAGAGACAAGGAGAAGACTATTTATAACTTCATGGGGATTTCTAATCTCACCTCTTTCTTTATAACCTGTCTTGCTGTCTCCAGCATCCCTAGGCAGTAAAGTGTAGACCCCAGACCATGAGTGTAAGCATTATCTGGAACTTGTCAGAAATATTGGTTCTCAGCCCCTCCTCAAGTCTGCTGAATCAGAAATTCTGGGGGTGTCAGAACTTGTGTTAAAGGTTCTCTAAGTAACTCTTAATATGTACTCAAGTTTGAGAACCTCAGCTTCAGGGTTGGAAAAGTTGTTGTCCTTGAGACCAAGCCACGAGATGCTCTCAGACTTCCTGACAATAACCAGCCTGACTGCCTGGATGTTTGCATACTGGCCTGTAGTAAGTCTTTATAGCTACATGTAACAGCCTTCTAGCATACTTGCATATGATCTCTCACTGATCTGCCTGATTCTATTTTTCTTTGACTAGTATTTGTCACATAGTCTGTGGTGGTACTTCTTTTTTTTTTTTTTTTTTGAGATGGAGTTTCGCTCCTGTTACCCAGGCTGGAGTGCAATGGCGCGATCTCGGCTCACCGCAACCTCCGCCTCCTGGGTTCAAGCAATTCTCCTGCCTCAGCCTCCTGAGTAGCTGGGATTACAGGCACGCGCCAACATGCCCAGCTAATTTTTTGTATTTTTAGTAGAGACGGGGTTTCACCATGTTGACCAAAGTGGTCTCGATCTCTCGACCTTGTGATCCACCCGCCTCGGCCTCCCAAAGTGCTAGGATTACAGGCTTGAGCCACTGCGCCCAGCCGGTACTTCTAATTACTGTAGCCTACCTGGCTGGGTTTTATCTCAGCAACTGCAACAGCAGCTAACATCCCCATCCTCATCACCTTCCCCCAGTGACCTTATTTTGCCCTAAGTTCTAGCTCCCTGGGGTCTTTCTCAACACCTCAAGTTAACTCTACCATTCCCAATCTTGACAAAAGATATGACACACTGAAGAGAAGAGCCTTAATTCCTAAGTTAAGGCAAAAGTACAAATGACAGACTACAACACAAATGCTTGGGTTGTTTAGAATTCATGAAGAGGAGGAAGGAGGTGGGAAGAGACTTTTCGCTCTGTATCTATTTATATTCTCTAACCTTTTAACAAGATGATGTGTTACTCAAAAATAAAGTATTTTATAATTATTTTGAAAAATGCATAGTAAAAATAAGAATGATCAGGGAATGAGTTATGAGTTTCACCTGCAAGAGGCAAGTTTAATGATAAAGGGCATGGAGCACATTCCAGATGCAAAAAGGGTAACTGGGGGCAAACCATACAAAGAACTGTACACAAATGGGACAAAGAGCCAGCGCTGACTGCTGTCCTTTTACCAAAACATGCTGCTTTTGATAACTTGTTTAGGTTATGGAATTCCACTGAAAGACGGCGATGAGAAAACAGATGAAGAAGCGGATGGGCCATATTCAGATGATGAGATGTTAACACACAAAGGGCTTCGAAGATCCCAAAGCATGAAATCTGTGAAAACCACCAAAGGCCGGAAAGAGGTTAGTTAAGTGTTGAGTTGTTTTCCTAATGATTAGTTTTAAAGGATTTCCCTGCTGGGTTATCATTTAGGGTATTAATGATCCATAAATGAAGGATTGGAATGGTACAACAGCAGTTTGATTTTTTTTTTTCTTTTTTGGGGGGATAGAGCCTCCTTGTTCTGTTGCCCAAATTGGAGTCTGGTGTGGCACGATCACAGTTCACTGCAGCCTCAACGCCCTGGGCTCAGCCAGTGCTCCCCCAACCCCAAATAGTTGGGACTACAGGCACATGGTACTGCACCTAGCTAATTTTTTCTTTTTCTTTTTCTTTCTTTTTTTTTTTTCTTGAGACAGAGTCTCTCTCTGTTACCCAGGCTGGAGTGCAGTGGCAAAATCTCGGCTCACTGCAACCCCATCTCCCAGGTTCAAGTGATTCTCCTTCCTCAGCCTCCTGAGTAGCTGGGATTACAGGCATGTGTCACCATGCCTGGCTAATTTTTGTATTTTTAGTAGAGAAGGAGTTTCTCCATGTTGATCTCAAACTCCTGACCTCAGGTGATCCTCCCGCCTCAGCCTTCCAAAGTGCTGGGATTACAGGTGTGAGCCACCTTACCCAGCCAGTAGTTTATATTTTAAAATCTTTATTCAGATCAGATGTATCAGGATATCAGAAAATTTTGAAAATGGTAAACTCTTTATCTTCCACTGTAAGTAGAAAATGGCTTTTTTTTTTTTTTTTTTTTTGAGACAGAGTTTCACTTTTGCTGCCCAGTTTGGAGTGCAGTGGCATGATCTTGGCTCACTGCAACCTCTGCCTCCTGGATTCAAGCAATTCTTCTGCCTCAGCCTCCCAAGTAGCTTGGGATTACAGGCATGCGCCACCATGCCTGGCTAATTTTTTTTTTTTTTTAGTAGCTGTTGGGCAGGCTGGTCTCAAACTCCTGACCTCAGGTGATCTGCCCGCCTTTGCTTCCCAAAGTGCTGGCATTATAGGCATGAGCCACCATGCCCGACCTGAAAATGGCATTCTTATGTAGCAAATCACATAGTTCAAATACCTAGTCCCAGCCCTATGCATAAAAAAAGAAAGCCACAAACAAAATTATCCACACAGTTTTGCCTTCAACTAATGCTACATGAAGATTAAATAGTAAACAGTTAACCATAATAATATATTGTCTTTGTACCCAGGAGACAGTGGAAGACTGTGAATGGCCTCTGATCATTATAATCAATGTTTATTGACATTGTACTAAACAAAACAAATAATGAGATAAATGTTTTTGTTACATTAATATTTTTATGTCATCGGCCAGGCGCTGTGACTCACACCTGTAATCCCAGCACTTTGGGAGGCCGAGGCAGGTGGATCACCAGGTCAAGAGATCGAGACCATCCTGGTCAACATGGTGAAACCCCGTCTCTACTAAAAATACAAAAAATTAGCTGGGCATGGTGGCGCGTGCCTGTAATCCCAGCTACTCGAGAGGCTGAGGCAGGAGAATTGCCTGAACCCAGGAGGCGGAGGTTGTGGTGAGCCGAGATTGGGCCATTGCACTCCAGCCTGGGTAACAAGAGTGAAACTCTGCCTCAAAAAAAAAAAAAAAATGTATATATGTATATATATATATATATATATATATACACATTTATGTCATTAGTAATAATCTGTAACATATATCTAACATAGTACCAACTACATTTTTATGAGTTTATAAATAGTGCTGTCTTATGTGCACTTATTAGGAGAATTGATTCTTTATATCAAAAAGGTTAAAAAATGACTGTGAGTATGAACTATTAAATCTGATGTAATTTTTAAAGGTAATCATCTAATTCTTAATAATAAAACATTTCTCTCTTCAGGTACGGTATGGGTCACTAAAATATAAAGTGAAGAAGAGACCACAAGTGTATTTTTAGTCATCTACACTTCAAATATCCCAAGACAGATTATGCTAAATACATCAGCTTCGTCTTCTAACATGATATATTCAGGATTTATACATTTAAATGATTATTTAAATTGTGGCAGTGATGGGATTTATTTTCATGAATTTAGATCATTTTTATTTCTTTAACAATTGCTTCCAAATATTGACTACTAAAGGCTGTTATGCAAGATGTACTAATATGTATATTAGAAATTATAGAAAATCATGTTGTCCGTTTTCAAATTCATCAGCAGCATAGAGTGCCTGAGATAAAAGATGAAATACAAACCCACAGTATACTTGAAAGGAGCCTTTTTATGGTTCAGGATAAATCAGCCTTTGTGATATTGTACTGTTTTTACCTCCTTTTGTGTTATATCTAGTAATTAAATAGGCCTCAGATCCAGCCAAGACATAATAAGGACATAATGTAAGATAATAAAGTATGTTTTATATATTCTTTAAATTTTTACTTGTATAATACTTTCTAGTTTTTCCACCATCAGCTGAGAGTTTTTGAAACAAATATTTGAAAACCAGGTATCCACACATAGCACTTTTATTCCTGACTAGTTTTGCACACTTGAAAATTGTTTACTTATTTTACAACTGTACATTTACTTTAAGTTTTACTGACGATATCTTTATTGTTTGCCATATTCTCACATGTCAAATCTATGCCTTGAATTATATCATCTCTTTTCCTTTGGGTTTCATTTGTTAAATTCCTTGGATTTTAATAATATAAGAGTATAGCTAATTGTTCAGTTTTAACTATTTTTAATTATCTTCCTAACAAATAAGAAGTTGCTTTAAACATTAACCAGTTTTCTATATTTAGCTGTACAGAGTAGTTGAATTTAACATTTTGTCAACACCATTTACATTTTCAGCTTTTAAAAATGGTAGCTTTTGTGAAATAGAATCAGTGACCAATATAGCACTTAGATCCCTTCTAACTCATACAATTTTTCTCAGCCAATCCATTCACAAGCTTGGCATTGACATGTACTGCTAGTTTATAAACTAGTGTTGACTAAAATCATTTGAATCTCTTCTGGCTGAGATAATTTACAAACGCAAACTACAGTCATCATTAAACACATTACTTTTTAACTTTAAATCTCAAAGAGATTGTGAGTTACTGAACGCTTAAGGCTTTTTTAGCTTGAACTGATAACTATGCATTATGAACCCTAAATCAGTATAAATTTGGTGGTGGTTTTAGTGATTAGTAATCAAATTTGTACTTGTTAATGCTTGTTCAGGTAATTTACTTGACTGTTCTACTTGTCTGTCCAAAAAATAAAATAATGAGAGAGATTTGGGAGATCTTTGACCTGTCTCCCTTTTAAGAAATGAAGCCAGCTGGTAATGTATATTCAGGACCTCCTCAGAGTATTGGCCAAGAACATAATGTTTACACAGGAGTACTTTGGTATAATGCAAACAGTGTCTCATGATAATAGTCATAAAATATCTTATGGATTATTTCACATTCTTCATCTATAACACAAGTAAATATTCAGTTTTTTTTCCCACAGTTTAATTCTGAATAACTCTTATCTACTTTACCCTAATTTTTAGCCTCTTATTTTCTGGAAGGACTCTAATTTCTATTCCAAATTCCTATGAATTCTAATTGTAAATTCTCAGAAGAGACTTTTATTTATATGACCTGGTACTAGACTTCTCAATATAACTGTTACACTCTCCCTGTCTTACCTACTCAAAGGCAGTGTCATCTGAAGTTGCTAATAAGGTCATGTGAGTCAAGAACATTATCTGTGGGGGCTGATTTGTACCATTTTATCTCTGTAAAGTGTAGTCTCAGTATTAAACCTGTTCTTTAGTAAACTGATATTACTATTCTAAACTGAAGAAATTATTTCTTCCTGCGTACTTCTAGACCTAAAATACTTCGTCAAAGATAGTCTCAAAGAGGTACTACAAGTCCTGTTTAACTGTACTCTTTCACATCCACAGTGCTGCCTCTGATATGTTTCCTTTCTTATATCCTTAAGCACTGTTGATATCATTTTGCTCTTCTTTCTCTTTTACATTTCTTAAATTTTAGTTCTTTTCCCTTACATGTGTTTTAGCGTGCCCTTTTCTTTGAACTTTGTCTAATCAGCCTCTACGTTTTTGTTTCGTTTAAGGTAGAATGGATCTTTTTTTGTTTCTCCTTTTCAGTCTACTGGTTTTAAAAGAGATAAATGGAACCATAGAATACAATGCCTTGCTTTTTCCTCTGCCCGCACATGGGGCATGGCATTAGATGCACAAACCTATTTAGGGAACTATTTTGGTAGCTGTTTGAGTTTATCCAGAAATTACAGCTGGTATTTTATTTTGCTGTACATTTATTCAACTTGTCCATTAGTATTTAACTATTTCCAGAGTTTGTTTAGGAGTAAGAATTGATCCATTCTTTAGTTTACCATATTTTTTCCTGGTATAAAAAGGAGCCAGAAATAAGCCTTATTGCTAAATAATTAATTATGTAAGCCCATCTAGGTCCTGCATAAGATCCCTCTCACATACTTCACAATATATAGATGTGTGTGTGTGTGTGTGTATTTGGCTAAAAAAATATACTGCCAATATTACTGATTATAAATACTTGACTACACTGATTGATGGGACAAAGCGATCAAAGTATTTTCAGGGATCTTATTCCATATGTTACCACCAAAGATTTCTACAGTGTTATAAAGTATGTAAATATTCCAAATTACTGTAGTTAGATAATATTTTTTCTTTTTTCCTATTTTGAAATAAGTCTGTGCTCTCTGAAAATGCTTGAACTTTTATGTTGTTAAGAAATATATAATGCTGTCTTACATTAAGCGTAATTTGTATTTTTAATTGGAATGGACTAAATTTTCATTTGATTATCTTTATCAGGAAAATTAAGGAGTTACATATTTAAAAGCAATGCTCTGTGTTTTCTTCTCTGTAAGTTGACTCATTTGTGAAGCAATTAGGTAAATTTTGAGAAGATCATTGTTATTGTGGTATGTGGTATATATTTCTTAAAAAACAACATTTAAGATTAAATTTTTCAGAAACAAGAGTGTAGCTTTTTTCCTGAAATGTTTCTAAGATTTAATCTTTTAGTAGGATGCTACAGATTTAATGTATAATAACTCTTTTTTAAGACATTGACCATGACTTAACATTTTGTCTTCTAACACCTTTTAAATCTATGTACTTTAATAATTAAGAGAAAATAAATTTGCAGATTTCTAATAATCTCTTTGTAAAGTCTATCTCTAAGCCTAGTATGTGGCTAATTTTACAGGTGTGTTTTTTGAAAACTTTAATATAAAATAAACTCATTTTATTTGTGACAATTTGCATTTCTTTTTTTATGCCAGTATACATATGTTGAAGTCCATGAATTGGTATTATTTATTATTATGTGTTGATTAAATATGTGCACACACGTAGGGATTACAAAAATATGCACACTCTCAGGATTACAAATCACTGAGCAAATTATAAAAATTATAAACATTCTGGTATGGTCATCCATAGGATTATGAAAAACATAATTGAGTTGTTAAATTTGGACGTTAGAAAGGGAAGCTAGGAGACACAATGAGTACAGAAACCCTCACCATCAATTTGGATTGGTTAGCTGTCTCAGGCATAAAATGTAACACATAATTCAGATTTATGTATCCTGGAAGTGTTCTGGGGTTCCATCTGTTTTAAAGTTAGACGTCTGTCTGCCTCACATTTAAGCTTTAGAGAGAAATCCTATGTTTTAAGAAGTTTCTTTGTGTTACTTCACTAGGACATATAATACATGTTAAAGTCTTTCTAGATAGTATTTAAAATGGAATTATTTTCACTTTTATTATGAGGTATATACTTGTAATGATCTAAAGAGGTTAGAAGTTTAAATAAAAATTCAAAAGAACACAGTGAATATATGAAAAGCATTTTTTTCAGTGTTTGACCTCCTTTAAATTGAGGCCAGGCGAGGTGGCTCACGCCTATAATCCCAGCACTTTGGGAGGCTGAGGCAGGCTAATCACCTGAGGTTAGGAGTTTGAGACAGCCTGGCCAACATGGTGAAACCCTGTATCTAGTAAAAATACAAAAATTAGCCGGGTGTGGTAATGAATGCCTGTAATCCCAGCTACTCAGGAGGCTGAGGCAGGAGAATTGCTTGAACCCAGGAAGTGGAGGTTGCAGTGAGCTGAGATTGTACCACTGCACTCCAGCCTGGGCCACAGGTGAGACTCCATCTCAAAAAAAAAAAAATTCACTGTTCTTAAAAAAGAGATTCGCAAAACAAATGTCATGTATGTCGGGCAGAGGCTGATAAATTGTTCCCTGGGAAAACATTCTGCTCTTTTACCTACCCATCAGCATTTTAGTCTTAAAACACTCTCCTTATGGTCTGTCTTTGGTAATGTTTTCTATTTATTTATTTTTTTTTTGAGACGGAGTTTCACTCTTGTTACCCAGGCTGGAGTGCAATGGCGCGATCTCGGCTCACCGCAACCTCCGCCTCTTGGGTTCAGGCAATTCTCCTGCCTCAGCCTCCTGAGTAGCTGGGATTACAGGCACGAGCCACCATGCCCAGCTAATTTTTTGTATTTTTAGTAGAGACGGGGTTTCATCATGTTGACCGGGATGGTCTCGATCTCTTGACCTCGTGATCCACCCGCCTCGGCCTCCCAAAGTGCTGGGATTACAGGCTTGAGCCACCGCGCCCGGCTCCGGTAATGTTTTTTAAACTGCTTGTTATAAGATAATTAAAATTTTAAAGCACAGGATTGATAATTGTAAGTATAAATTAGTAAAGACCCATGCTCAACAAAAGCAGGAACGGCACCATGCATACTCTATTTACCTGGCAATCCCAGATTAAGAGAAAGAAAAAGGCAAATATGTGATTTTGGTATTATGTGCAAATCAAGTCAACATCTATTGTTTTTTAATTCAAAAATATCCATTGATTACCTACTTCATACAATACCACTGTTAGGTTTCTGCACAATGCTTTTATCCAAGTAAAGGAGCATAGAATTAATTTAAGGGATATAATTCGTGCTGTTAATAAAAGGAATTCACCATTACCAACCAAATTAATGTTTGGATTATTTAAGTATTATTTATTCTAGTATTTCTTCTTGGTTATTTAATAATTCATATGGTTCTCTCAGAGCAGTTTTTGTTTTTGCTTTTTAATTGGTTCCCTTCCCTTACCTCTTACATCCAATACGTTGGTAAATTGTTTTGGCCATCTCCAAAATACATCCTGTATCTGACCATCACACTCTTGAAACCTTACTACCTTTTTATTAGCCTTGCAAATTTTTCAAGGTGACATTTAACCTCAAGTCCCTTAGGACTGCCACAGTTTCTTATATTTTCAACTGGTACCTTGGGGAATACTCATAAAAAGAAAGTTGCGTAGGGAGAAGAGAGAACAGGATCAGATGCTTTTGCACATCAGTCTTTTGTTTTTCTCTTCCAATCACAGCTTAATTCTGAGATCTGGAAAAGATGTGTGAGGAGAGGAGTTAATGAAGCCAGGTTAGAATATCTGGCTGAGACCGGGTGCAGTGGCTCACTCCTGTAATCCCAACACCTTGGGAGGCCGAGGCTGGTGGATCAGGAGGTCAAGAGATCGAGACCATCCTGGTCAACATGGTGAAACCCCGTCTCTACTAAAAATGCAAAACATTAGCTGGGCATGGTGGCGCCTGCCTGTAATCCCAGCTATTCAGGAGTCTGAGAATCACTCAGGCAGGAGAATTGCTTGAACCCAGGAGGTGGAGGTTGCAGTGAGCCGAGATCGCACCATTGCACTCCAGCCTGGGTAACGAGCGAAACTCCATCTCAAAAAAAAAAAAAAAAAGAATATCTGGCTGAATTCTAATGTGTTTTGACAGGATGCTATCTCAAACTACTGGGAAACCGGTTGGGATATATGTGGGCATTTCCCCCATGGCAATGCTAAGCATAATTTAAGTCACTCTCAATTTGAGTGCTACAGTAGATATCGTAGATATCGTAGTGCCAGGAGTCAATAGTAGGTATCTGAGTTAGGGTTCTCCAAAGAAAAAGAACGAATAAGATGCATAGAGAAAGAGAGATTTATTTCAAGGAATTGACTGCTGATTGTGGAGACTGGGAAGTTCAAAATCTGCAGGGTGGGCCAATACACCAGAGATCCAGGGAAGAGCTGATGTTTCAAGTACAAAGACAATTCTGCAGGTAGAATTCTCCCTTCACCTGTTAGGCAAGGCTCGTCCACATTATGGGGAGTAATCTGTTTTACTGAAAGTCTATCTGACAATGCTAATTGCATCTAGAAAAATACCTTTAAAACAATATAGACTAGTGTTTGATCAAATCCCTGGTACCATGGCCTAGCCAAATTTGACACATAAAATTTCACAGTTTCCTTAAAATTAAATTTTAAAAGCTGGGCATGGTGGCGCACACCTGTAATTCCAGCACTTTGGGAGGACAAAGTGGGTGGATCACCTGAGACCAGGAGTTTAATCCAGGCTGGGCCACATGGCAAAACCCCATCTCTGAAAAATACAAAAATTAGCTGAGTGTGGTGGTGTTGCCCATATTTCCAGCGAATTGTGGGGCTGAGGAAGGAGGATTGCTTAAACCTCAGGAGGTCAAGGCTGCAGAGAGCTGAGATGTGCCATTGCACTCCAGCCTGGTTGACAAAGTGAGACCTTGTCTCAATAAATAAATAAATTCCAAAAGAAACTTCACTTCAAAATATAAATTCATAAATTCAGTATGTAGAAATTATAAATATTAATTTGTCTTATGAAGGAGATGTTACAGCATGTGATGTATTTGGAAGAAGAATTAATACCTTATAAGGCTTGTGATGCCCCTTGTATTCAGTTGTGATAACAACAGTAGTATATGTTTGTTTTCACATTTTGCAAAGAGGCATCATCCTATTTTACAAATACACAATCAGAGAGTCATCAGTGACCAACCTGTGGCCAGGTGCAGTGGCTCATGCCTGTAATTCCAACACAGGGATGTTGAGGCAGGTGGATCACTTGAGCTCAGTTTGAGACCAGTCTGGGCAACATGGCAAAACTCCATCTCTACAAAAAATACAAAAATTAGCTGGATATGGTGGCTGGCGCATGCCTGTAGTCCCAGCTACTTGCTGGGGTGAGGCAAGAGGATTGCCTGAGCCCGGGAAATTGAGGCCACAATGAGCTGTGATCATCGCACCACTGCACTCCAGCCTGAGTGACACAAAGACATTGTCTCAAAACAAAAACAAAAAAGCCAGTGACCAACCTACGACCCAAGTGCAACGTTTGTAACTTCAGACTCTGTTGTTAATTCCGTCACAGTTGGTTATCTTAGAGATCACAGAATACTTGGAAAGTTAACATGGAAATGATTCCTTCCATACATGTATTATATAATACAAAAGTTTCCAATTATCAGAATGATAAATGAAGTAAAGTTATCAAGTCATTGGAAGTTAATGGATTTCGTTTTAAGAGTAGCTTAGTGCTGAGAGAAAGGATGCTTTTAAAGTGAATAGAAAAAAATAAAGACAAATAATGTACTATCAGTTATGGACTAAGACAAACAGGAAGAGTTTGAAGAGTGGATGCAGCTGAAACGGGAGGAGTATCCTCTCAGGAACTGCTTTCCTTCCTTCCTCTCCTTTCCACCAACATTTTTTCCAAGGCTTCCTCCGTTCAAACCACACCTTGTAAACCCTTTTATGTGCTCTGTTCACAACAAGAAGAATTTCATGTGCTGTTCCATACTGGGTTTTAACTAATAAAACGCACACACACACAAAAGGCCAAATGCCTTTTTACACAGGAGATTAACTTTATTCAGTCTTTAAGCTGAAAGCAAGTACAGTTAGGATATATAGCAGGCGACAGTTTCCATATGTTCTAGGAAAGTGGAGCTGTATTATTTATAGTTTACAACATGTTGTATAAAATTAAAGCTAGGAAGGGGGCTCCCAGGGAGGTAAATTAAACAAAGAAGGAAAGACTTAGAGACCTCTATTTTGCAATAATCAGAAAAGATGCCTATAAGAAAGCACCAAAAAAAAAAAAAAAAAAAAAAAAAAATTTAGCATTAAGCAATAAGCAAAAGTAGTCGGGATCTTCAGCTTAAATTCTAAAATTAAAAAGGACATTGAAGACTGAGAAGGGGAAAAACCCCTTAATTTTGTAATCTCAATAGAAAAAAAATGTTTCATAAAGCAGGAGTAAATAAATGTCATCAAAAAGGTATATCTTCCAAAGTGCAAAGACACGTTACAAGAAATCAGGTTGCTCTTTGACCCACCAGTCTCAAAGCACATTAGACTGCAGCAAGTAATAATTGCTTCCTCATTTAGATTAGACAATGAGTGCTCTCTGCAAGCTGCTGTCCTCTAAATAGATTGTAGAGAGTAATTGAAGCAAGTTATACGGGGAAGTGGAGTGACCGATTCCTCAAAGTGTGGGAGCAGAGCTATGGTAACCTCTTGAGCTTGGCCTTCATCCTGTTCCTATTTAGGGAATCCGCGGGGCAGCCAGTGTTGAGTGCAGTCTGCAGTTCGCCAGCTTTATTGTTTAGACTTGAAGGGAAGGTCACATGCCCTCTTTGACAGAGAGGTTTATGGGCTCTCTCTAATTAGCAGCACCCTCCACCAGACAGACTGTTGGCCACTTTCCAAGAGCCGGGCTTGGTAGCGGCCATTGATGAAGGAGAAAACAAGGTTATTTTCCCTGCGACTGTAATTCTTGGCACAAGTTCTCCCATTACACTCAGACACGATTTTCTTTTGTTTCAACTTGCCTTTGGAATTCTTATTAGGGCGTTAAAGGAGGGAAATGCGGCTATATATTTAGTGGTGTAAGCACCCCGTATGTTGGCCTCAGCTACTTTTTACTATTCTAAGACCTTATACCAAAAAAGAGAAAGAAAAAGGAAAACGAAAAGGGCAGCGTAGTCGAGCGTTGCTTGCAAATGTAACTGCTTAAGCACATGCCCACACACAACCCCAGAAAGGGAAGTTTAATTTGAAACATCTATAAAATAACGACAGTTGTATGGTGGGACACAGAAATCCCAGCGGTAAAGTGTGATTGGGTTTAGCTATTACTGGAGTGTTAAAAGAATACCGGGAATATATTTGGCTTGTCCTGTTCTGTCGGTTCTGCAGGCCGGTGGATTAAGCTGATAGAAATGCTTTTTGGTTGATTTAAACCAGATGCTCCTATTTTTGTCCTACTTGCAGGCGCAGAAGCTCTGCATAAGGCAATGCTGCCCCCCTCGGCCGTCCGCCAACTGCAAGGCGTAGGAAACTCGTCTCCTCTAGCCACCTCGGTCATAAAACCCTTTCAAGTCCCCTATTATTATTCCAGGCACATTCCAAGGGGATTGAGTCACAAAGTTCACTTGGCTTTTCTCCTGCCCTGAACTGCCTGTACCAGGTGGAATACGACTCTCAACTTCAAATATGGAATCCAAAAGCGGTCAAAGAGCGCTTTAGAGCAAGCCCCAGATGCGAACTCTACTGCCACTTCTCCTCCTGCTCCATCTGGGGTTTGCCGGCTGCGCAGCTGTAGTCCCACGCCAGCACTGAGGTCGCCTGATCGACATATGAGCGTTTTCTTTGGGGCATCCTGTAGAGCTGCCCTATTTTCTCTACCGCTTTGAGAAGCCCCGAGGGCTGCTCGGCGGCGAGGCACAGACTGGGCTGGACACTTTCCGTTGGGCAGTGCGTCCCGGGGAGCTAGGGGGATTGAGGTTCTGCTGGCTTTTAAGTCTGCTCGGAGGGAAAACTCCCAGTCCCTCCCACGCGTCCGTCCAGACTCGCCAGCCGCCTGCCCCGGGCGGGGAACGCACATCTGGCGGCCCAGGAGCCACATCTAATGTACTAACCCCACACCCAGATGTCCAAGGGGCCCCGGGAGTCAAAGAACGCCAGGGGCGGGGAGGCCGCGGCTCCTCCCTCGCGCAGCGGGAATCCAGACGCTGGGCGCGCCCTCCTGGGCCGAGCTAGGCTGGCCGGGGACTGGGGGCCTGCGGGCCCGGGGGCCCAGGGGACTGGGAGGTTGCGGTGCTGGACGGGTGGGTGCGGTGAGGCTGGAGCCGCGCAGGGAGGCTGGGCTGGCGGGGGGAGGCTGGAGCTGCGCCGGGGAGAGAGAGGCAGCGGTTGGGTGCTGGAGGGCGCTGGTGCCGTGCCAGTGGGTGGTGGCGCCTCGCTCCCCCCTCGCCCCTGTCACTGTGCCCGCCCCACTGCGTGGGATTTTACAACCTAGGTCCCCGGGAGGTGGTGGTGGAGGGAGGGAGGGGCGGCGGGGACGTTTCCGGGGCGGGGGAAGGGCGCACTGCGCTAGGACGGGCCCGAGGGCGGGGCTCCCTCCGCTTCTCGCCTCAGTTCCTGCGCTCTGACGCAGGCGTTTCCTGGCGTGGAGCGACTCGTCCTGGAGCTCCCCTGCACCGTCCTGGGAGGCGGGAGGCGTCAACCAGGTGACCCACCCGGCGGTCCTCGATCCTCTGCCCCCTTCCCCCTCCCCAAGTCCTTAACCCGAGAGGGAGGAGCTACTGGTGTCCTCCAGACGTTCTCCCACGCCCGAGCCGCCGGGCGAAGTCTGCGCAGGGCGGGTGCGCCGCTCAGACGTTTGTTTGCACGCCGGGGTTTTGACGATTCGCTGAGGAAAGGCGTTTGCCAGGGACTCAGGGCTGTTTCGAAGAGCTTGCGTTTATTGAATGCTCCCATCTGAACAAATCGTTTCCATTCGATTTGTTTAACCAAGGCGAGGGCGGACTGTGTTCTTACTTAAAAGTTGTCCTTCATCCAAGCTGTCCTCAGATTTTCATCTAAGGGTGTCATAACACCCCAGGTCGTTGCGCAAATGTTTTGTGACAATTTAGAAAACCACAGGGGGAAAACATCCTTAGAGAAAAAAATCATAACCATCAAGAAAATTATGTTAAATGATGTTGGTCCTTTTTCATCGGATGGTTCTCTTTGACGCATAGTCTCCTCCAAAACCAGTGACTATTCAGTCTTCACTTCATGGTAAATCTCCCATTAGGGGCTAAGTGTATGAATGGGTCCCACCTTATTCACCAGCTGAAACTCTGAACAAGCTTTGGGGTATCCCCTCCCAAACACTGCTAGGCGTCACTGAGAATCAGAAGAAAACAGGGTATTAAATGCCTGTGGTAAGTTTTCAAATGCTACCTCTTCCAATGCTTACTTCTATGACTTGTGGCAAGTTACTCAATCTCTTATGCCTGGTGCTTCAGTTTCACCATTTCTTTCTTCTTAGAGACAGTCTCACTGTGTTGCCCAGGTTAAAGTACAGATCCTAGTTCGTTGCAGCCTCAAACTCCTGGGTTCAGACTGTCCTCTGGCCTCAGCCTCCCAACCAGCTAGAGCTACAGTTAACAAGCCACCACACCTGGTTAATTTTTAATTTTTATTTTTTAGAGATGGGGAGGGTCTCACTGTGTGGCCTCAAACTCCTAGCCTCAAGCATTCCTCCCAGCTTGGGCCTCCCAAAATGTTGGGATTACAGGCTTGAGCTACCATGCCTGGCAAGCTTCATCATTTCAAAAATGTAACTACATTTTAGAGTAGCATAGAGGTGCTGTAAGGGTTAAGGATTAATGATAGTGCAAATCAAGTACTTAACACAAGGTTTGATGCATAGGAAGGTAATTGTTATTGTAATCAATGTGAGTAGACTCTTATCACCAAAATGAAAGGTGTGGACAATAGGAACTGGGAAAAGTAGCCTCCAGAGATCCTTCTTTAAAGGAGTATGAGTTTTAATACATTTGTTGAATGAATAAAACCCACCACAGTCTAGGCACATCTCCAGTCCTTGCCCTGGCAGATCTTTCAGTGTAACTAGAGGAAACTGGATGAAATGATAATGATGCATACATAGCCTTTCGTCATACTGTGACAGCTTTTTAAAACGTGGGTTTGACTTCTGGGTTTCCCATTAATAACCGCTTCTTGAAAAGATTGTTCTTTCAGAAAATTTCACTGGGGTGATGATAAGGTATTAACAAATGTATGTCGAAGACATCCTCTTCCTTTTTATGCATAGCCCTTTTTTCCTGTGGAATTATAGAAGAATCTGACCAGGACAACCTCTGTATTAAATGAAAATTTGGGAACTCAAAAATATACTAGATGCACAGAAAGTGCAATTCCAAAAAGGTCAGGGCTATTGTGTATACAGGGCAGCTGCTGAAACTATAGCAGCTTCCTCTGCTTTAAAGTTAAAGAAGGGTTGGACTAGTTCTTCCTTCCTGCACTAAAATTCTTTGGTTTCAAAGGTAGCTGTGTCCACGTGGTATTTTCTTTGTATTCCAGAGCCCCGACCAGGAAGGGAAGGACTTTGAGAGGCTTTGGGCTTGACAAAATATCATGGCTAAGTGTGGTGGCTCACACCTGTAATCCCAGACTTTGGGAGGCTGAGGCAAGAGGATCACTTGAGCCCAGGAGTTTGAGACTAGCCTGGGCCACGTAGTGAGACCCTGTCTCTTAAGAAAAAAAAAAGAGAGAGAGAGAAAGAAAAATAATCATGGAGTGATGAGAGAGGCTAAGGAACTCAGACCAGTACTGAACTATAAAGCAAGGTAAAGTGTCTATAACCAGCTGTATACTAACTGGTTTTTTGTTTTTTTGTTTTTTTTTTTTTGCGGTAGAGTCTTGCTGTTTTGCTGGGCTGGAGTGCAGTGGCACAATCTGAGCTCACTGCAACCTCCACCTCCCAGGTTCAAGCGATTTTCCTGCCTCAGCCTCCCAAGTAGCTGGGACTACAGGCTCATGCCCCTACGCCCAGCTAATTTTTGTGTTTTTAATAGAGATGAGGGTTCACCATGTTGACCAGGCTGGTCTCAAACTCCTGGACCTCGTAATCCACGTGCCTCAGCCTCCCAGAGTACTGGGATTACAGATGTGAGTCAACATTCCTGGCCAACATATTCCAATATATACAATGGATATATTAATATATACATTGCTATATATATTTTAAAAATAAGAAGTATATCTGTATTTATTTCTAGCACATATATAGCATAGATTCTGTATACATGTAGATCACCCTGTAAGTTTTCCTAATACCTTACCTACAAAAAAGGTAGAATTTTCTTCCTCTGTCTATAATCATGGTCTGAAGGATGACTTTTGAGCAGCAAGAGGGACTAGAATGGAAGGTGTCCATGATTTTGGCTGGAAGAGAGAAGTGTGCCCTCTTGTGGGTCTCCTGTCATGTTCTCAGAAAGTTCCCCAAGATAGAGCTGTGGTCTTTCTGGTCAGGGCTCTAGTCCCATTTTACCTTCAGATATCTCCCATGCCATTTTTTTTCTCATCTTCCCTGAGAAATATTTCCCAAATTATAACACAACTCCCTCATCTCTCTAAATGATCTCCCTCACACTCCACACTCAATGGATCAGCCCCTCCTGTCAGCTCTAATTGATGGATATGGATGTATCCCAAACTCCGTCCCTTCTTACTGCCTCCTGCACTAGCAACTGGTCCAAACCACCATCATTTCTTGGCCAGCCTGCTGCAATCACCTCCTAATTATTTTCCCTGCTTCCACTCCTTCACCATATATTTCATTCTCCACGCAGCAGCCAAAATGGTCCTTTTAAAATACAAATGAAATGTGCTCACTCTCCTATTCAAAGTCCCTTAGTAGTCTCTTTTCACACTTGGATAAAATTCACACTCCCTCACCACAGCCCGTATGACTGGACTCTTGCCTGATCTTCTCACCTCACCCTCTATCACTTTCTTCCCTGTTCATTCCTCTTCAGGAACTGACCTTCTCACTGTTCCTCAAAAATATCGAGCAGACTCCTGCTTTAGGGTCTTGCATTTGCTGTTTCCTGTTTTCAACCCCCAGACCATCACATGGCTTTCTCTCTTAGGCCCAAATGTCGCCTCAGAGAGGACATCCCGTATCACCACACCTAATATAAATGAAGCACTGTAGCCATAGCCATTCCCTAAACAATTGTGCTGCCTTAGTCGCCGTCATATCTCCTTTTTGTTTCTTTGTTTATTTTTTGAGACAGAGTTTCACTCTTACTGCCTAGGCTGGAGTGCAGTGGCTCGATCTCGGCTCACTGCAACGTCGACCTCCCGGGTTCAAGCGATTCTCCTGCCTCAGCCACCCGAGTAGCTGGGATTACAGGCATGCGCCTGGCTAATTTTGTATTTTTTGGAGAGTCGGGGTTTCACCATGTTGGTCAGGCTGGTCTTGAACTCGCAACCTCAGGTGGTCCACCCTCCTTGGTCTCCCAAAGTGCTGGGATTACAGGCATGAGCCAACGTGCCTCACTCTTTCTATCTCTTATAAAATATCCTGTTTACCTGTTTACTTGATTATTGCTTGCTTTATCTGTAAAATGCATGTTCTATAAATACAAGGACTTGGTCAATCCTGTTCCACAAGGAATCTCCAGTTCAAAACTGTGTCTGCATGGAAAAGGCACTCAATAAATCAAACTACTTTCACTCAGTGACAGAGAATGAGAACAATGTAAATAGAGAGAGAATGAGAACAATATAAATAGTGTGAGGAAATGTGTTTACTATTTTGCTCAGTAAGTGAATGCATTAGAACAAGTATGAGATAAGAGATGTGAATCTACTTTTATCTCGTAGTTCCCCTGTACTGTTCACAGTATGATCAATGTGCTGTACTGGGTATTTAAAGATGCTGATAGTTTGAACAGCATGCCCCTTTCATGCAGACCAGTTCTGTAATGGGTTTGAATCCTGGGTTCACCACGTTAGTGTGTGACATTGGGGAAGTTACTTACCCTTTGAATGCCTCAGTTTCTTTATCTGTGAAATGGAGCTAATAATAGTACTGCCTCTATAGGATAGTTATAAGGATTAATTTAATAATGTAAACTTCTTAGAACAGTGCCTGAAACATAGTAAGCCATGTCTAAGTATTTTTAAAGCAAACCTGTTTGGCCGTACTTGATCCTTCCCTTTCTTGGGGACTTTATAACTTGAGTACTTATAGGACTCTGATATGACTGGCACTGGAATTTTCATTATGCTTTTAGACCAGTAATTTTAGTTTTAGCACCAAGTACAATAATTATTTTGTAACAACTTCTAGTCTAGCATTTTTGCTTAGCCGTAAATTCCATTTAGGCCAAAATATCCCTAACTTTGCAGAAAACTGTACTTTCAGGGGTCACCACCCAATTATAGTTGAACAAAAGATGTTTCTTCCTTTTCAATTCTGTAGGCTTTTCTTGGCTTGCATTTCCATAACATAATATTGTTATTTGGTAGTTGAATGTCAGTCAGCTCTACAGAAAAATAAATACCAGTGATCTTGCTAAACCTGTGTGCCAAATCATTCCTGAACTAGGGGATTGGGCCAGATAATCTTTGGAAGCTCTGTTTTTCTGTGGTTTTCATAAAATGAAAATAGCTCAGAAATGAGAGGTTCTAGATTTAGCACTATGTG